TTCTTAATTAACTAAAAAGTAGTTATTCTTTAATATTCAGTAAAAAATGTATTAAAAATGATTTTCTGTTATTAGAGCGTTTTTGAAGTGAAACTTCTTTAGTGGCGGTTGGTTGGTTGAGAGTAAATTGGCAAATTCAACGGAAATGGTGCTACGGAAATGATGCAACGGAAATGGTGCAAGGGAAATGGTGCAATGGAAATGGTTGGGGCTGAAACAAATGCTTTTTGTGTGTATGCATATGGTATACAACTAATGAAAGGTTAAAGAATAACTCTTAGAAAAAAATCAATACAAGAATGAAAGTAAAGGTGAGTACGTATATACATAGATAAAGAAAAGGATAAAGGCAAAGGTAAAAAAAAAACAAAAACAAAGATGCGTAAATATAAAGGCAAAAATGAAGACCAAGGTAAATTTAAACGCTGCACTTATATATATAAGGGCAAAGGGGGAATATGTGGATGAAGAAAAAGATAAACATAAAAGTAAAGACCAAGAGGAGGATGAGGATACCGATAAAAGTACAGATGAAGATAGGGGAAAAAAGATTAAAATAAAGGTAATTAAAGAGGAAAGGGTATAGAGAGAGACACAGAGACTGAATCTGGGAACTATTTTGGAAATTTAGAGATTTTCGGGATTCTCGAGACTTATCGATGAAATAATCGACATCTTTATCGATTTTGTTATCGATATTTATAGATTTTGTTATCGACTTTCTAATCGATATTTATCGATTCTGTTGTCGACATTAATCGATTTTGTTATCGATATTTATCGACTTTTTTATCGATTTTATTATCGATATTTATCGATTTTGGTATCGATATTTATCGACTTTTTAACGATATTTATCTATTTTGTTATCAATATTTATCGATTCTGTTACCGATATTTATCGATTTTGTTATCGATATTTATCGATTTTGTTATCGAAATTTATAGATTTCGTTATCGATATTTATAGATTTTATTATCGACATTTATCGATTTTGTTATCGATATTTATCGGTTTTGTTATCGATATTTATCGATTTTATTGTCGACATTTATCGATTTTGTTATCGATATTTATCGGTTTTGTTATCGATATTTATCGATTTTGTTATCGATATTTTTCGATTTTGTTATCGATATTTATCGACCTTTTTATGGATATTTATCGATATTTATCGACTTTGTTATCGCTTATTTATCGATGATTTTATAGATTTTGTTATCAATATTTTTATCGATTTTCTAATCAATTTTACTACCAATATTATAACCGATTTTGCTATATTTTGTTGGATGTTGCTATCGATTTTGTTATCCATAGAGTGTAAAGATAAAAATGAAGATAAAGGAAAACAGAATAAGATAAATGTAATTAGAACGAACAGTCGTAGAGGTAGGGATCTAGGCAGAAAAAAGACAAAAAATATAACCTTAAACAAAAGCAGATGAATGTATGTATGTAAATATTTAGATACGTATATTGGTTATGAGAAAAAAAGAGATTCGCATCGTAAGTTTCACTTCTCCAGTGTGGCCCAGGCGCACTTACTTTTTTTTGTTAGAGAGTGTTGTTTGACAGTGTTTTGAGATACGAGGTTTTGCCAAAGTACCGTCGATATGCGGTTATGTATATGTATGCGAATGGATAAATTAAAAAAAGTTTTGTTCAATAAAATTAGTACCCGCGTTTTTTTTTCGGACTATAATTTGGCGCCTTTGGTGATTTTGGGAACTTTGGCCGATTGTATCTCTGAGAAAATAAACAGCCAACGAATTTTAAGAATTATAACGAAATCTTTATAATGTTTTCGCTCTTATCAAACGTTATTCAATAGGCCTTAAGTTTATGCAGAAAATATTTTAGATGAAAAGGAAAATGTATACCAGCGGCACGTAGTGAAATTTTGATTTGTAAATACATACACACATATGTACATATATATACACATACTCTGGTTTTAAGAATGTTAAAACTTAAAAAATTCATAAATATCTTGTATAAACTGCTATAAATTCGGAAATAGGCATATGTATATCGTCGTTTAAAGTACAAAACCGCGTATAAACAAAATGCAAAACCGCGCATGTGAGGTTGCATAAATTATTTTCTAGAAAGTAAAAACACTCAGATTTCCGAAATGGTTCTCTTTTTTATAAAGCAATCGCGTTTCTGATTAGTATATTTCCGGACGAATGGATAAGAATTGAGCCAAGAGCTTGTGTGAGCAAATCCAATTTTTGGCAGCAAATGTCAGTTACGCCGTTTTGCAGAATGACGATGCGCGGTTTTGTACTTTAAACGACGATATGTACCTATTACCACGTTTATGCGTTTGTCATTTCATACGTTAAAATGGTGTTTTGTGCTGTCATATTCAACTACGTTTCATGAATTGATTGCGTGAAATGGCAAACACATAAATGTAGTACCTATGTATGTACAGTGGTGGAAAAATAAATAGGGACACGACATTTTAACAAAATTTTTCCTATTTTTTTTGTGTTTATTATATATTTATTATTTTTTTTTTTTACAAAATATAGCTCATTATCTAACAAAAACCATATCATAAAATATCATCTTAATTTTCCGTTTTATAGCCCATTAAATTTTAGTAGAATAAAGTGCAAGTTTTAAGTAAGTTTTAATTTTTTTAGCAATTTAAAACGTACATTTCATTCTACTAAATATCGATGGCTGAGTGGAAGATCGACCTATCTCGGCAGTCAATTCGAAAACGCCATATCTCAGAAAACTTTTCAAGAACGCCCTACTTCAGAATTTGATTCAAAACCGCCCTATTTCAGAATTATGTTAAAAAACGCCCTATCTCAGAATTCGGTTCATAAACGCCCTATCTCAAACGAAAATACATTGAAAATAAGCTGAGATAGGGCGATTTTGAATCGGCAGCTGGAGTAGGGCGTTCTTCAACCAAATTCTAAGATAGGACGTTCTTGAAAAGTTTTATGAGATAGAGCGTTGTTGAAAAATTTTCTGCGATAGGGCGTTTTCGAACTGGCTGCCGAGATAGGTCGATCTTCCACTCAGCCATCGATATAAAACTACGTACTCGAAAAAATTCCAAAAAAATCGGATTAAAAAGTTGAAAATTTAGATGCCATTTTGCAGAATTTTTATAATTTTTGCACAAAAATTTAAATACGGATTTATATGGTTTTTATTAGATAATGAGCTATAATTTTATAAAAAAAAAAATAATAAATATTAAATAAACGAAAGAAGAATATGCAAAATTTTAAAAAAATATCGTATCGTTTTTCCACGACCGTATATATATTTTTTTCTTTTCGCTTTCATTACTTGTACAAAGTGTTTACATTTATATTTTTACCTGGGATTTCTTTATCGATAAAGGCGAATCCATGTGAAGTAGCGAGAAGCCAGAGTTGGGACCGTAGGTCGGTGTTGCCACGTTTGGTCGCTTCTATATCAATAATGCCAAGGAGTGACAGTGGTTTTGTATTGAACAAGTGTATTTTATATTGCAGGTATTTACATAATAAAAATCATTAATACGTATGAGACATTCCTTGTTGCTACGTACAATAATTACACGGTGTAACAAAATTAAGAAAATTGCACGCATTTTTTAAGCGGCCTAGCGCCGGTCATAGGTCTAACATAGCCCTACATTCTCAATTTATTATTATTTTTTACCTCGCATTTGTTAGCTTGGGATGTAACTGTGTAAGAATGGTGCGCCTAAAAGATGCAGCAATTTCCATAATCAAGTTACATACCCAATGACAGTACGAATGGGAAGTGCTTTAAATTTCCAATTTAAAACTACCTGATGGCAGTACGAATGAAAATTCCAAAGATTGATTTCGCGTGTTATTCTATTCGTTATAATAGTTTTAAAATCAATTGAATTTAAGACTAAAAAGACGAAAATAAAATTAAAGTTTAAAAAATGAAAAGCTCGCTCTTATAACAATGTGAACTAAAAAGTAAAACATACTTTATAGAAATACAGATTTCGTTTAAGATGAATAGGAACTTCCCTCACTTGATTTAGTTCAACTTTTAAAACCAACCTAAAAAAGGATTAAAGTAATTGACAATAAAATTAATTTTACCAGAAAACGAAGCGTGGGGTGCTTTTTAGATTTTATAGTCCTGCTCTTGACAATATTCAATATTACTAAACTGAAAATGAAAAGTTGAAAACAATTGATATCAAGCACCCCACGTTATGTTCTCCGGTAAAATTAGTTTCATTGTCAATTAATTTAATCATATTTTAGGTTGGGTTCAAAAGTTTAATTAAATACGGTTAGGAAATTTCCTATTCCTCTAAAACGAAATCTGTATTTCTATAAATTAATTTTTACTTTTTAGTACACATTGTAATAAAAGCGAGTTTTTAGTTATTTAAACTGTAATTTTATTTATTTGCCTTTAATTACGAGCAAGTCTAGATATCATTAGGGATGCAAACGATGCATCGATGTTTTCAAAACACCGATGTTTCGTCCAAAAATATCGATGTTAACTAGAAAAGTGAAAAACATCGACATCGTTCATTCACTCCGTTCGTATTATGCCGAACGACGAACGTGGCATGCGAGCGCTTGTTCTCGGACCATCATTCAGGATAGAAGCAGGCTTTTGGGGGCTAGATTATCAAAGCTTCTTTTCTGAACTCATTTCAAAATGTTTATTCATAAATCGCTTTGACTTTTAAAGATTTTTCTCTGGCGGCTTTAGCGTTCTTTTCATATAAAAGGCGCACTTTATAATAAATGGCGTTGACTTTGTTAATTTTGTTTGCAAAAGTCTTTCGCATTTAATTCTAAAGGGTGAACACACCAAAACTGCGACACTTTGGGAAGCTCATAACTTACCCAAAACGAATTCAATATTTTGAAATTCAAATACCATAAGTTGACCATGACCTTAGTTGAACGTAGAAGAAATTTCATTTGAATTTGATTCCTAGTTGAGTTAAAAATGGCAACCGAGCTAGAAACGAGACAAACCATTTTGCACGAGTTTATAAATGATCCGGCCTTAAGTACACGTAAAGTTGCTAAAAAATTAAAGAGTGCACTATTCGACAGTTTGCAGGGTTTTAATCGGTACAAATAAGGCCTGACAGTTACGAGAAAACCAGGGAGCGGGGGTTGGCATGGTCAAAGTGATAAAAACAGTGCTCGGAAGGTCCTCAGTGCGCTTTCGCGAGATCCGAAGATTTTGTCGCGTTATGTTGCAAAATCCGTACGGAGATCGCAGTTTGTCGTACAAAAGGTAAAGCGGAAAGCTTCATTGAGATGTTCTACAGCTCAAACAGCGCCAGACCGAGGCGCAAAGTAGAATGTTACAGAGAAATCCCGCATTCGGAAGTTGTATCAATTCTAAATTAAAAAATACAACTGCATTGTTATGGACTGCGAAACCTACTGCTATAAAAATTCAAAATATATTGCAGGTCAAGATTTGTATACTGGTGCAAGTCGTCAAGATGCCCCTGAAAGTTGTAAGCTGAAAATGAAGTCCAAATTTCCAAAAAACCACATGGTTTGACCCTGTGGCCGTAAGAGCAGCCCCTTTTCCCATCCGGGACAATGAATGATCAAGTTTATCGGGATGAGTGCTTCAAAAGGCGTCTTCTGTCGTTTATCAACAGATAAGGAGTAGGCCACTGTTCTAGGCGGACGTGGGAACCTGCCACTATGCTAAGGACACATTGCCGTGGTATAATGCAAATAACATCAATTTTGTACCTCACGACTGCAATCCACCCAATAGCCCAGAGCCACGTCCTATTGGGGAATATTGGTCAATTGTCAAAGGAATCTTGATGAAAACAGGTGAAAGAGTGAAAATTATTGAAGAGTGCAAAACAAAGTAGTGGTGCGCATCGCGTAAAGTCGATGATGCGGTCGTGCAGAACATGATGGCGCGTGTGCGATGAAAATACCGATCACTTGCAGATGGAGCAAATAATAACTAATATTTTAACATTTTAATAACATCTAAACTTCCTAGTTATATAATACAAAAAAAAAAATAATTTCAAAGCCTTCTAGTTGGTTTCTGGTAGTAATTTCTAAGTGTCGCAGTTTTGGTGTGTTCACCCTTTAGGCACTTGTGAAAATTGTTTTTAAGTCAAATCTGTACACATTCGATTTACACCTTATAAAAGATCTAAGAATAACTGTTATTTTTGATCGCAAAAATAAAAATCATAATATAACGATTAAGGAAGTTGAAAAAAAAATAAATGACATAATAACGATTATAAATGATCGAAAAAAATAAAAATCATAAACGATAAAAAATTATCGAAAAAAATAAAAATAACAAAGCAGCGATTAATTTATAATTTTTATTATAAAAATCATAACGGTTACGCAGTTTTACTATGACCCCTATTATGGTTCACAACTCAACTTTTTGAAAAACCGCCCATAGCCCAATTGCAAAACCGCACCGCCTTTCTTACGACACTCAAATTTTACAGGAGAGCGAAAAACAAACGCTTTATTCTTTGAAGGCATTGCCTTGATAGGCTATTATTTTACAAATCTGTTGTTTTAATAACGATTTAACAATTTTTATGCATAAATCTCGATGCCTGGAGTTCAGGGTTACCAAATCTCATTTTTGCCACAACGGCGATTTAGGCAGGTTTGCAACTGGTCGATGGGCGGTTTTGCAAAAACATCGACGATATGTAAATATATGCAAATTGTTCATCAATTTTTAGTAAATCACTGTCCTTTCCAAACATCACTTCAGTAAAATCCATAGGACAAAATTAACGTATGTAAGTTAGTAATTTTTCTAAACACTTTATTTTGAAAGTGCCATAAGTCACTTTATCGTAATGAAAAGTGATGATTTTTCCATAATCACATCAAATTATGTATTTATACTGGAAAAATGTTGGTATGCCAAGATAACAAATACAAGTAAATCTTCTCGAAACTTAGCATTCATATTCTTAAAGGGTTAAACCCTTACATATGTACATCGATTTATAGACGTATCCCTAATTATGTGGATACAACCGTATGTTTTGGCTAAAAACCTCCAAAAATTATTCTTATCACAATTGGGCTGATTTTTTCCCGACCTTCTTGTGTTTCGCAACTTTTTTTTCAACGCTTCGGCTCTGTCACATACAGCTTTCGCGTCGCTTTGACGTTGTTTCATTTTGACAGCAACGCAAGTAGCGCAAGTGTTTGCTACAATGAATGCTCTGACAGCAAATGTTTTTTCTTTACACGATTTTGTGTTTATTAGTAAAAAGTGAATAATTACATTAAGGGAGTGTCAACGCGCGCAAAACGGCAAGAGTTAACCAGCGTTCGTGTTTTTGTGGCGTCAGCGTTGTCTATGAGAACTGCTTCATATAAACGTAAGTATGTATTTATCTTAGCTGTCAAAGAAAAACCAACGCCAAAGCAGCACGAAAGCTGTATGTGCCAGAGCCTTAAGTTCGATACCACAAATTCGATTAACCAACTGTTGTTTTTATACAGTACGACCGCCATAAATAAGGTATAATAATGACGAATTTTCCCCAAGTATTGTAAGAACAAAAGTGAAACAAATTGTATTCCATTTAGAAATTATTATGAGGAAATGGACTATAACAACGATTATTGAAATTAACGTACCCGACACCACTTTATGATTTAATTTTTTATCATTTCAATGCCCACTGGAAATATGGCTTAAGAGAGGACAATTCAAAATACTGTATTTTCCAATACAATTACATTTTCGGTTTCAAATCTCAAATCTCAAACACAATCACAAATTACTTCGAAATTTCCTATAAACAAACCTTAGAGCAGTACAAAACTCACACGTACACATAAAAATGTACAGTAGAATACGGTGAAATTGTCACATTGCCACATTAAGAAATTCATAGAAACTTTATCTAATACACCAGGTAAAGCTACCTGTAAAATATTGAGTATTATTTACCCAGTCTGCTCTGCTGGGGTTGAGAGATCAAACGAACTTAACTTACTGAGCCGTTGTATTATTTTGACTTTTAGCGAATTCAAAAACGAAATCAATATTTTGCTTAGAACTTCAGTAATTTGTTAAGAAACTAAATCATATACTACATATAGTTAAATAATATAAATTACCATGTATGTTGCAAGTTTACTTTCTGAAGGAATACCGTTCGAAGGCGGATAAAACAGAGGATCCATTGCAGCTGTATCTGAAAGAAAGACAAAGAATTGTTAAATATGCAACAAGAATTAAGAAAAAAAAACGCTTACGATACAATGTTAGTGAAGCATTAAGAATAAGTACAAAACTAGTATTCAAATAAAAAAATAAAAAATTTTAAACAAGAATGATTACAATTAAGGTACGAGCTAAATATGTATCTGAAGCGGAATGTCTGGCTACAGAAAAATTTAAATAAATAGCATGGGAAATTGGCTGTACAAAAATGAAAGTAGAGTCCGACCGATTAATCGGTCGATGCCAGGGCTAGTATAGGCCAAAAAAAAATCGACATCGGCCGCTTTTGGCCGATTTTTGAAAGAGGTTATATTATTTAGCTATTTGACTGTTTGTTTTTCTTTTGTTATTATAAAAGTTTACAAAAGCATTTGTTCTTGAAATGAATTCAATTTAGCCGATTCTTTGCCGATTAAATCCTGAATATAATTTCATTTTAAGAACAAATGCTTTTATAAATTTTTATAATAACAAAAGAAAAACATAATCAAATAACTAAATAACAATATCTCATTCAAGAATCGGCCAAAAACGGACGACTCCGATTCTTTTAAAAATGAAAGTTTAAAGTTTTTATACGAAAAATACGCTAAGCGAAAAAGCACTTTGAACGTCGCTGCTAACTGATAAATGTTAGGAGCAATTTTCTCGACAAAAGCGGAGCAGAATTTGGGGAGCTCTAGAGGATCACACTAGGGATCACACTCTGGGCAAACGGTTTTATAATATTTTTCCGTTTCGAATAATCAACTGCTTATTAACCGACTTCGAAATAGGAGGAGGCTATTAATTCGTCAAAATATATTTTTTTTTATCTATAACTGTATAACTTTGGACCACGTTAACCGATTTCGATGATTCTATCGAAAAGGTGGTTGATTTAGATCCGAACATTGGACCATGAAGAAATTAACGATAATCCTAAATTTTTATATGAGAACTGAAGCGGCTATGTTTTTTGCTTAAAAAATTACTTGTTTACATTGATATATTTACACTTACTACGCGTTCAGTAGCAAACACTTGAAACAATACTAGTGGCACTATATAAATAACAATCACCTACTTTTGCTGTTTAATTCAGTTGTTTCAGTTTTGTATTTAAGAATAAAAGGAAATGTACGTCGAGTAAAGGCTGAATTAGTGGTGCCATACCATAGCCATAACCGTAACCATGGCAATTAAATATTCCGATAAAACGTACGCTCAGCTCTGTAAATGTATATTGGTGCCATACTATAACGCCCCAGAGCCATAACCGTATCCGTAGGTATCTATTTAATATTAGGTTTTCGCCATAACCCATAAGCAGCTCGGAAGTATTTTTCTACGTTACGGCTATGGCGTTATGGTTATGGCACCTCTAATTTGGCCCTTACAAACACAGAATTTTCCTTTGTTTTTAAAATTATGTGACATAAGAATGATGAAAAAGATATGTGTATGTATGTATGTACATTAAGGCGTATCACGAAAAAAAGTTTAGCGTGTCAATTTTATTTGAATAATTATGCCGAGAAAAAATTTTGGGAGTAAACATTTTTTTTATGCTTTATTCACAAACAAAAAAGTTATAATGTTTTTAAATTCCGGCAAAACCCGCCACTTAGCAATTGCTAACTTTTGCGCTCTGAAGAATAATTAGTTGTGTTTGTTTACAAATTATCCAGTAACTTGCCAGCAACTCTCCAGTAACTTTATTTCTAAGAATTCGCTCTCATTCAAATAAGATTTTTTAATTAATTTGAGTGAGTATAGAATTAACTTGCTCGTTTTGGGCACATTTGCAATGCTGTTCTGTTTAAAAAAAAAAAATAAAATTGTTTTACATCCCGATTTGTGGGTAGCTTGTTGCTCTGAACAGATTCTTCGGTTCAAAAATCATTTTTTACAGCTGCGATCTCTTCTTCATTGTTTAATAGTCCTGAGCGAAACCTTTTCTACGACATAAATATTTTAAAAATCGGATATCAAATAAGAAAGCGCGATTTAAAGAATAGCGCGATTTAGCGGGCGCATAAAACATAAAAAAATAATGTCAAAACGGTATTATCCATGCGTGACGATTCTGCTCCCCCTATGTAACGTTCATACTTTGTCTATATGTATTTTAGTCAGGCCAGCCAAGTATCCTTAGTTAGGAGCAAGGCCCAAAATTTTAGCTTTTGCTTGGAATTGCCAAGCTAAATTTTAACGACCATGCGTATTGGGTTCTTTCTTTCTTCATTAAGTCAATGAAACAATAAGTTTTTACTGACATTATATAAAAATTTAGAAAAACCTTATTTTTTGCCCTTTTTAAGATATTTGCCTTTTTTCCTTTTCTAACTCTCAATTGTAAAGGGCAAGGAAAAATCCCTTGTTCCTGATAATATGAAAGTTTTATACGTTCCATATTTAAATTGGGCGCCACTCGTATCAACTCACGCCAGCGCACGTTTAGTACATTCAAGGCTTTTCTTCGCGAAAATCTAATAAAAAAATGCTGCCAGAAAAATTAAAAATGCTTATTGTGGTTCAATGTTACTACAACTATAGAGTTTAAAGTTTTGTGAGTTACAAACTCGAAAGGAGAAAGTAGTCAAAGATTCAAAGTAGAAATTTTTAAAATAATGAAACTAGTTCATGATACAAAAAAGAAGGTAGTTTCAATAAACAACTTTTTGATTAAAAAGCAGATTTTTGACAATTGCTCAATTGTGAAAAATTCGAAGCGGCGTTACCCAATTGTAAGTTTTTTGGTGTGGGAGATTTTTTATCCTAAATTTGGGATTATAAATAAAACAGTTGTGTTAATATTTACCTTTTAAAAATAATTAATATCTTATCTTAAAAATGTTTAAATTTTACATTAAATTCGATAAAATTTTCTAGTGTCCTCATGTCATCTGATATTTCACAATGTAGTTTTCTATATCGGATACGATGATTTTATATAATTCAAACACTGAAGTTATACATTTCGATGTGTTATTTAATACATATTGTCTTTGTCCATTTAACAGCAAATGGAATTTACTTTGGAACCCATGGGCCGTGAAATTTTTCCCGCAACACATATTGTTTTCACATGAAATTTTTACACACCCAAAAGTGAAGTATAAAGTAAGTAGATAAAAAAAAAACTATTACGTTTGATTTAATTTTTTGCAATCATTAGTTCATTTCCCTTGAGGAGTCACAATGCCCATACCGGCTATACCGATTTTTTTGAAATTTCGGACACAAAAATGGTTATAGGCTAAAACAAAACCGATATTTAAAGGGGGTGTGGAACCTCCCATACAAATCGAATTTTTCATAGTGCATATCTCTGAAAGTATTTATGGTAGAGTCGTGGAACCTGGTATGGATATATGTCAATCTCAAGCTCATGGAAAAATATGGGTTTATTGGAAAATGCAGCGTGCCACCGTAGAACTGGAATAGAGGTAAATGAAATCAATCCCAAATCTATGAAAAATGGGGGTATATGAAAACGATCTCGTATCCAGCTACGAGAGCTAGCGGTATAAGCCATATAAACTAAAATTCTGGTGACGCAGAAAGAGATGAAGATGAGAGATGAGAAAAACGGGCGCGACACCTTCTGGAAAGTAACATGATCGCGTGTATTTAAAAATATCATGAAAATTGTGGTGCTAGCTTAATGTTGCAAGCTTTGTCACAGCGTGAACAGAATACTACTTTGCCGAGGAAATGTTATGGAATTTCACACTTATTTCACAGAAACAAATTTTATATGCTTTTTCACGAAACAGGAATTAAATACTATGCTTAAGAACAAAGATTTTTAAATCGACAAAAAATTAATAAGAAAATATGAAGGATTTTAGATATTGGGTATGGTAGCAGGAAATGTCATAATCTGCTTAATTGTCAGGTTGTTAATATGGCGACGAAAAAGTGACAATGGAACTACCTTCTTTTTTGTATCATGAACTAGTTTATAGTTCTTCTCTTTTTACTTGTAAAATAAACATTTCTAAAATAAATGTTTTTTTTTTTTGTTTTTCGATCAGAGGGAGTCGCCCTGTCTGAAACCCCGTTTTGTGGCGAACGGCTCGGAGAGGTCTTTGCCAATTCTGACGGAGCTGGTCGTATTGCTCAACGTCATTTTACACAGCCGTCCGTATCAGTTTGGCGGGGATGCCAAATTCAGACATAAATAGCGGCGCGTATATGCAACTCCTATTAGTGCTGTGCAATTTTCCAACTGGGTAAGTGTAAATATAAACTGGCCGAGAAACAGTTGAACCAAATCGTAACAACCGAAGTTGCTTGATGCAGAAGCAAAGAAAAAATAAACAAGTTTCATAAAAAAGTGATATGTACACACATATAATGTAAACGAGGCAACTTTTTGGAAATATGTATACATATATACGCTTGCGAATGAGTGCACTCGCAATTTTATCTACATTAATTCATACATATATATATATATGTATATATGTATGTAGGTATGTACATACATATATCACTGAGCACGTTCGTCGACGCCTACACGTCACTGAACAAGTGACACAATTGCGTTTCGGCTGCACGTCGATGGATCTACCTAACTGGCAGGTATTAAATGATTTACAAATTTCATAGCCCAAAATATTTAGGGCCAACTTACCGCCCCACTCAATACTTTGTACATACATACATACATACATAATATTTAAAAGATGAGAGAGAGAAAACACTTTCTAAAACGCACCTACGAGCATAGGACCAAAAACTTGAGAATTAGCGTACACATTTCAGTTTCCATATGAAGTCGAAATTGAAGAAGTGCGAAATACATACATACATAAAAAACAATGTATGTACATTAGGAATGTTAATCCCGGGATGCCGGGACCCTGGACTTTTTAAGGTATGTAGTTTGTACTGATGGCAATAATCCTTTTCTTCACCAGTATTAGCTATATTTCGTTTTTAAGTGAAACTTCTTAGTCGAGTTCGGAGATGGTTGCGTTAAATATTTAACACCAATTCGGGTATGCAACATAGCTTTAGTTCCGTGAAAGGAGTTCCCACATGTTAGAAAATCGAATTCAAAATTTCTCTGCCGCAGAGGGTTGCGTTAAATATTTAACACCGTCATAAAATCTGTATCGTTCGTTCGATTTTTAAAAATGAGGTGAAAGGGCCTGATAGGCGCTGAAGTATAGTTTTTCGGCGCGTTTTTGTTATCGTGGTTTCCCCAGTAGGCCTAATCCACGGGCAAAGTTTTTTGCTTTCAATGAAAGCAGGTGAAGGTGTGGAAATGAGTTTTACGGCGCATCCCGTACATCGCTATGTTTATCGCTTTCCCGGCCGTGATCTAAGCGTCGTACAAAACAAATGTAGGTACAAAAGTTGTGGAAAATGAAATTATCTACATCTTTGGAATTTCAATATGCTATAAATTTTCAACAGAAATTGTCAAAAAATGGCGAAAACCGTGACAATGTAAATTTTTCTCGCAGTTTTCGTTAATTTTTTACAATAAAAAATGCCAATTTAAAAAAACCTTCTATATAACAAATGTGGGTAATTAAATTCTCTACATATTTGTATTTAACAATTTTTTTCGAAAAATGCAATATAAGCTTGAAAATCGCAAAAAACAAAAAAAAAACTTAAATCCAAGATGTCGGAATGTTGCCAAATCAAATTTAGGGGCAGGACTGTGGATCCATGATCTACGTGTCAAATAGAAGTAAACTGCATCAAAAAATTGCTGTTACAATTTTTTTTAAGAAAATGTCTAATGGGGCTGGGCTGGGGTTCTCTGTAAGATGGTTTGTTAAAGAAATACGTGAACATATATGAGGGCTATTCGCGGTCCGGTGCAAATTATTTGTATATGGCGTATGGAAAAAAGTGATATGGCGTATGGAAAAAGAGATATTTCCAGCAGTAAACGTTTTAGTGTGGGCCGCAACGATGTTTTTTAAATAAGGCAGATCGTAATATGCGCTCTCTGGGAATAGAATACCTGTAATTATTGTACCATGGTTTCAAACCCATTTATTTATTATTTATTTCATGGTAGGAGAGCTTCTCAAACAATATATAAGCAATTTTTTCAATTCAAGTTGTTGAAAAGTAATGAATATCTAAATCCAGGGACTATTCCCGGGATCCCGGGATTCTGACAACGCCATCCCGAAAATCCCGGGATCGGAAAAAGCCGAAAAATTAACATCCCTAATGTACATAGATAAAGACATGATGAAATCAAAGTTAAAGAGCGAGTTGGAAACGCTTAAACGTATTTTCTTGCAGTTTTTATTTTGGCTGATAGCAATTTCTTTCCAATCTTTTATATACATATCTGTGGTCATAAGCAATAATCGCCTAAGTCGAAAAACCTGAACACTACAATTAATGTCATAGTTAACTTTTCCAATTTCGAAAAGTGTAGTGCTAACTTGACGGACGTTATAGTAGTAGAGAAGCAGAAGCAAAACGACATTTTCTACTATAAACAATTTTGTTCTAGTGTCAAGGCATATTTTTCAGAGTAGTACTGAATGACCAAATTGTATGCATTCAACCAAAATTGACAATCAAGGCGATTGCGAATGTTTATGTTATATGCACATTTCCTTTGTGATTTTTCATTTTCGTTCTGTCAGAAAGTTCCTGAGAACTCCGAGAGAAAGTTCCTTAGACTTTTGATCCCGATTTAAGCATTTCCCAAAAGTTCCGGAGACTTTTGTTCCATTTTGTTCTTTTCGGGAATGTTCCACAAGGTTTTGTTATCATTTCGGTTTGGGGTTTTATGCGTTGTTGGGAACAAACCTTCGAGAAGGGCATTCAATTTCGATCACACAAACACTGCCACATTAATTGTTGATCGAATAATTCCCATGTGATCCACAATCAGTGTGGCCATCATACATACATTTTTAATTCAAGAGGTCGTAATTTCAACTTATGACTTTATTACTCATTTGTACAATTTTGTATAGAGCTTTATTTCGCTTCTGGATACAACAAAAAAAAAAAAACCATTTAAAACGCGGCGTATTTAGCGTGGAGGCGAATTATAAAACGGCGTTACTTAGGTTCTCGTACACAAATATCTGTAAGTCGCGTAAGTCGACTTAAGAAAGAATTTAGTTAATTATGCTATCGTATTCTGCAACTACTATTCCATATGTATGTGAAGTCCACATCTCGCCAGCTAGACTATTTAAAAAGTTATAGACGAACATATTTTAGTTTCCCCATAAGGTTAACATTACAATCAAAATGTTTAAAACGGTTTTTCTCGCATTCAGGTTTTTCGACTTAGGCGGTTATTGCTTTTGACCACAGATATGTATATAAAAGATTGGAAAGAAGTTGCTGTCAGCCAAAATAAAAACTGCAAGACAAGACGTTTAAGCGTTTCCAACTCGCTCTTTAACTTTGATTTCATCATGTCTTTATCTATGTACATTAGGGATGTTAATTTTTCAGCTTCTTCCGATCCAGGGATTTTCGCGATGGCGTTGTCACAACCCGAGATCCCGTGATTAGTCTTTTATAATATAAGTCATTAAATAATAATTATAGATGAGACTCGAAAAATATTTATCTAAGTATAATGATTATTGATTGACTTTTAATCTTTTCTCTTATAATAGTTATGTCTCTGATTCATACAGATTTGTCCATTTTCACCGTTACAGAGTAGTGTTGTTTGGAAAGTTGTTATTGAGCTGAACTCATTCTCAATAAAATTTTCTCGACAACACCTCTCTGTGACTGCCAAATGTACAAATCGTGTGATCCCTGATTAAGCACACTTACCAGCTGGGAAGAAGTTGTTTAAGAATGTTGACATTTTTCACCGCAACACTCTGACGAGTGTGGGGATTGTCGGTTGCGGTGGAGTTTTCGCCTCGTCGTGCTCCTCGTTAGTGAAGTAATCGTGGATGTGTTCGGGCAGGCCGTCGTTTTAGCGGGGCACTGATTTTTTTTTCGTGTTTTAGTAGCTTTAGGTAGGTTTTATTTCTGTTTTTTTTTTTTAATGATATTTGTACTTTATTATCTACATATATATATTCTGTAATTTTTTTTATTCGTTTTCGGTATTTTGACCGTCGTTTGAGCAAAGCTGCATTGTATTTTTATTTGTACGCGAGAGTTCTGACCAAACTGCAAAAATATATACATATTAGGGGGCCCATCGCAAATGCGTTTTTTTTTTTTTGGAAATTTTAAGACCCTACCCCCTAATTTTATTCGTTTTTATGAGAAATACCATTGCCTTTTTTTTATAGATATTTTAAAGGTCATTTAGAGGTCGCGACCTGCCGATTTAGGTCTGAAAATACGACTTAGTAGATTTATAAGTTTTTGAATGACTATTTTTGATTCGATTTGATGCGGGCTTTTCTTAAATACGGCCTTGAATTTGTATGGTTTATTTACCGGAGAAATATGGGTGTTTTTACCCAACAAGAAATACCAACCACCCAAGTCCGACAATGGATCACCAATTTAAACGTCGCGACCTCTAAATGACGTTTAAAAAATCTATAAAAATAGGCTATAATATTTCTCATAAAAATGTTTAAAATTAGGGGAGGGGAGGGGGTCTTGAAATTTCCAAAAAAAAAAAAAGCATTTTCGATGGGCACCCTAATACATATGTACATATTCACTTATTCAAACACATTAGTAGTCCACTGTTCTCACATGTACATACATATGTACGTAACTTTCTAAAGTTCTCCCTTAATTACGTCAATATACTTAAAATAAAAATAAAAAATTCTCCAAATTTATTTCTAAATCTCGCTAATCCTCAGACAGAATCCGGAGGCCGCGCGGATTACAGGAGTGTTCGGATTATAAATGGTCAATGGCAGTATGAAAATTACCATTATACTTAATTTTGAAGAAAACTAAAGAGTGTGTCGGACGTGGCAATATTTCCAACTTTTCCGCGCAATTGCTGTCAAATTGAGAAATGGAAATTATATTTCTGTGTGAACAGCCAGAAAGACCTTTCTGTCACATTTCGGAAATCAGCTTCAGCGATAAAAGTTGCAAGATGTGACTTCAAAAGATAGAGCGCAATCGATTTCGTAAATATGGGCTTGTTCGAGTTGCAATCACAACCGCAGTGTTGCGCGAATTGTTAAAGTATCACGTTCTGTGTGAATTTCTAGCAATGTATTATCAGCTGGGCAGTTGCAACAATGTTGCCATTTTTAATCAGTACGGCAGTAATGCCGCTTTTATTACGTACCTCGAACAGGCCCTATATTTCAACTTGCTCGTGCTGAACTAGCAATCTGCAATTCGCCTTTCGGAAATAATAAACCTCTTTCGAAAGACATTTTACATTTTGCTGTCAAAATGCGAAATCGATAGTCTACTTTCCCGTGTAAAGTAAAAATAAAAATTGCAAGGTTTAACTGCAACTGAAATTCAGCAAATCGCTTTCGAGAAATAATTTCAACTTGCTCGTGCTGCACCAGCAATTTTCATTTTTGCCGTGTTACGCGTTTCTTGGCGAAATTGTATACAATTCTAAAAATATTAATTGAAATATGTGTAACTAATTTATTCTACTCGTGTGGAGTATTTTAGTATTAATGTATTAGACATTTTGGGACTGTTTTGTGCACATTTTAGCAGGTTTAGTAAATTTTTCATGTCATCAATTTTGTTATAAGCATAAAAATGTCTGGTAACATAGTTGAAAGTGGACTTGTCTGCATTCATCGCGTTAACTGACAAAAAGTAGCATCGCAGGGTTTAATTTTCAGAAATAAAAACTGCTTTCGAAAGCCACTTTACGTGCAAGGTGTAACTGCTCCTGCAATCTCTTTTGGAAATTCTTGATTTTAACAGACTTGCACTTGCCACGTCTAACAGCTGCTTTACATGCAAGGCGTGACTGCTCAACAGCTTTCTGAAATTTCTAAATTTTACGGCCTTTTCGAAATACATATATTGCCTTGCCACGTCTGGCACGCTCTTTATATCTAATAAACTTTGCAAGTGTATTAAGTTTCTTACTGTTAATTACCGTGCCGTTTTCAGAATAAACTACATCGGTGGCTGAAAATGGCTGAAGACACCCTACTTCAGAATTTGATCAAAGAACAACCTATCTCACAATTCTATCTATTGAAAAACGCCCTTTCTCAGAATTTTGTTGAAGAATGCTTAGTAAATGGTACAAAAAGGCCCTCTCTCAGCTGACGATACATTGAATTGAATTTACTTGAGATATGACGTTCTTGAACCATTTGCTGAGTTAAGACGTTCTTCAATCTAATTCTGAGATAGGGCATCCTTTAACCAAATTCTGAGTTAAGACGTTCTTCAATCAAATTCTGAGATAGGGCATCCTTTAACCAAATTCTGAAATAGGGCGTTCTTGAAAAATTATCTGAGGTAGCCGTCGATATGTAAAGTTACGAAAAAACCGATATAGCTGTTTTACAGAGTGGCTTTCATAGTCAGTGTATAATCGCACGGAATTATTGAAATTTGTTTTGTGATACGGCCTGATGAGAACGAATTCCAGTTTTGGTACCAAACGCTATACGTACATATGTACATATGTTAGTGCAACTGTGCCTTCGGTCAGCCGGTTATTGAAAAACTCAAGCACTGAAGGGATTCAGAGTGCGCACGTAGGTACAAACCTTGTATTTAAGAAGCCAATATAATAGCCTACCCTGCAGAAAATCCGACCAGCTCAGGACTAGCGTAGAACTAGACATTTTGCCAATAGTACTAGTTCTAGCTCAATACCCAAGCAATGCTTTCAACTATCCAGTTTTACACGGCAATGTCATTGGCGGTGGCAAATGTCGCCCAGTGCATTACTTTGCAACTGGTTTTTAAGCGGTTCCGTTTTGGATAGTTTTTTTTTTTACAAAAAAACCGTTTTTAAGTTACGATTTTTGGATA